CCCTTTTTCCAAAAAGTGGTTGGATACCCATGGATTAACCCGATATAGATTTTTTCGGTATCAGGTTGTCTGTCAAAAATGTTTTGTCAAATTTATATACTGATCTAATAGTAAAATTCGGTCAAAGCTGTTTTCTGACCACGTCCCAGCTAACCAGAACGAAAAAAGTCGATAAAAAAACTTTTTCCAAAAAGTGACTGGATACCCGCGGATTCACCCTATTAAGATTTGATTTATTGTTCTTCATTGTTAGTTACTTTTTAACATTCAACAAATGAATAATTTTAATTAATCTCATTTTATCGAGAGAGTTTTCATCGAAGAATACAGCCAAATTTTGTGTATTTTATTCCATAGTTTAGTCAAGAATATTATTTTCTAGTAAATTTAGATAGAATTTTATAATCCAGATTTATTTTTGGAAGAAATAAAACATCAATTCGCAATTTTATCTTTCCCAGTTGCTAAAGATGATAAAGTATTGAAAAAAATAAATCACATACTGTTCTTTTTTCACTTCGTTTTCTGTCTTTTTCTTTTTATTTGCTAACTCATAGTGAAACTATGAATTTTTTCTCTATTAGTATCAGTTTACGGCACATGATCAAAAAAAAAATAAATTTGTTATCTCATGTTTTTTTTTCTCGTTCTTTCCCTAATTTTTTTTTACCACATTTATTAAAAAAACAACAACATCATTGTTTTCTTTAACTAAATGACGATATTATGTCATCAAAGCATCGCTCATCCTTCTCGTTATCATCATCTCAACATCGAATATTAAGTAGAATATTTCGAGAAATAGATAATTTAAATGAATCAATTGATAATACATTGGATAATTTATTAAAGAAATATAATCAATCACTTGTTGATATTGAACAATGGTCAAAAGAAAATATCGAACAAATAAAATCGGTTAGTGAAAAAGCTAAACAAACAGCTGAAACTATTTATAATAGTCTACTTAATGAATTACGTACAAGATCAAGTACACAACGAAATTATTTAAAAACATTATTAGAAAAATTAGATTATCATGTTAAATCTCCATCTCAACAATCATCATCAACGGTAACGAAAGTTCAAATGAATGAAATTATTATTGATATAGATTTAAAATTAATTCAATTAAAAAAACATCTTGAACAAACAAAAATATTATATCGTGTTGAATGTGAACATACAGAACCAAATGTTCATATTATAGCTGATATTCTTGATACAAATTTTAATCAAACATTATTAGAAGATAATAAACAATTAAAATTAGATTATGAATTAAATTTAGGAAATAAACATCCAACATTAGCTATTTCAACAGAAAATGTTCTCTTTTTTATTTCATCTAAATATCAAAAATATAATTTATCAACAACAAATGAAATTGGTAATGATCAAAATGAGAATGTAAAAGAACAAACTCTATTATATATGTATGATTTAACATTAAAAACAAAACAATATGAAATGAAATGGATATACGATGATAAATATATTCAAGATATTGTATGGTGTAATTATATAAAAAAATTTTTAATATTAACTACTGATAATATTTATATATTTGATTCAGATAAAAAAATATTACAACGAAATGAATATATACCAGGAAAAAAATTATTTGAACGTTATCGTGGATTATGTATTGGTAATGATGAATATTTAGTATTATCAGGTTCATGGCCAACTCTTATTAAATTTTATGATTATAATTGGAATATTAAACGTTGTTTAACATCTGATTCTTTAGCAGATAATCGACCATGTTTTATTTCAATGATACGTTATGATCATTTCAAATATGGTATGATTGTTTGGAGTAGTGATGCGGATAATCGATTTGAATTACGTGATGAAAATATGAAATTACTCAGTCGATATCCTTTTCCAAATACACACATCTATTTTCTATTACCGATTTTAAATGGTCAATGGTTGTTATCAGATCCAAGACAAAAATTAGTCTATACAATTTCATGTAATGGTGATACGATTAAATTGTTTGATAATGAATATATTTTAGCTATGGATATATTTTCTGGAAATGATAAATTGTATGTTCGTACAGCAACAAAAATTCAAATTTATTTAATAGAAAAAGATAATAGGTCACCATCATTTCTTATAAAGTCATCTGAATTAAAAAAATAAATCGGTATGAATGCACAACTCTCTTTCTATATGATTAAAGATAACATTTCTTCTTCCAAAATGGGCACTATGTAAATGTCGTGCAATGGAGGAAATTGAAAATTTTTTCTAAAATCATTTTATCATTTTCAATGTATTTTGTTCATATTAGTTGTAATTTTAATTTTAATTTTTGAATATTATTATTGTATATTTGCAATAAAGAAGAAAAAAAATCCAAACATTTTTATGTATAATGCGAAAATCTTGTTTTTATGAGAGAATAGTTTGTTAATTATCAGCACTTAATTTTGTGTGTTTGTTAATATTTTGACCAAAAACAAATGTTTCATTCTCAATTATGATAACATTCAGGTCATAAATAATTTTTTAAATAAAGGGCTTTATTTGTGGCTATTTGTTTACATTCTCGAATATTATCGCATGACCAGCCAATTTTTTTCATCAGTGATATAGTCAAACGAATCGGAGAAAAAAAGAGACACAACATTTACACGAAAAAAGAATTCTGTTCACTGAAATAAAGATCTAATGATGAACATTATCAACTACAAATCGATAACAAAAACTACTCATCTGAATATGCTTGAAACGGTTGTACAGTTGTAAAGAATTTAGCGTGAAGATAACAAAGTATTTTCTGGTCAGTAAAAATATTACAGTACAAAAAGAAATAAGTAGAATTGCCGACATTGCTTTCCATCAGATGAGAGTAGATTTTTCAACACTAGGGTATGATTTGTATAGGAGAAGTGAAATCAAAGACGAGAAGGCAAGTTTACGTAGTTGTAGACAACAAGAGACAGTCGAACACTATTTTCTTCAATGTCTGAACTATGTTTTAGCCAGAAAAGAACTTTTTTAACAATTTATCTCATCATGATCCAACCATAGACATTGATTTAGACATATTACTCAGAAGACAGTTTGAATCAAACTTGTACAAAGATCTTTACTACATCATTACAAAGTACATACAAAAAACAGAGCGTTTCGGAGTGGAAAATAGACAATGATCAATATTTGTATGTATTGATCAACATTCCCTCTCTCTCACCTCCCTCCTCTGCATCTATTCAATGTACACGCAGTCTTTCTTTCTCTTCCTTCACCTTCATTTCATTTTTTATTTTTTTTCTCTTATGGAAGAGGGTAACACCTTGTAAAATAATCCTCGAACTATGTAATGGCAATTTGCCGCTTTAGTTGAAGAGTTATTAGGATTTCTTCATCTTTAAAATAAATATAGCTTAAACCAAACCAACGACTGTACTCAGAGTAGCCAAATCTCTCGATTTTTAAGATTTTCTTCTGATTTCTACTGATTTTCTATTCTTTTCCTGCTTCAAAATACCACATGGTGTAGCAAACAGTTTATTCTTCATATTTGCTTTGGTTCGTTTTGGTTCTTGCAATTTTCGTTAAAAATATTTGTGTCTGTTTTGTTTATATTGTTAAATGAACAGCTATGCAAATACCAGTAGAATAAACTACACTTGATATCTTTCTCTCTTTTTCTTTGTTTCGCTCCTAAGACAAATCCTCTCATCACTTGCTTGGTAGAAAAGTCACAAGTGTTTGTGGGAATGAAAATTTTGCTTGTTCAAGAAAAAACTGCTTGATACTCTTCTGATTTCGAAAAATTGGATTTAGTCACCCTGGTTGCACTGTAGAACTATGGTGATTTACACATACTATCTTATGTGAAACCATGATCAATAAAAAAATATCTAAATTAATTAATTAATTGATTTAAATTAAAGATATTATCATCAATGACACAACAGTTAACATTGATATCGGATAACGAAGATTTGATTATTATTAAACATATTCAAATTGACTGAAAGTTTGTCTTTATTAAAACATTTACGAAATTAAAAATTTGATCGTCAAATTAGGCGATATCAAAATAATAATACCTAATGGTATAATAAATGAAATAGATTTAAATAAAAAATGAATTTTAAGTTTAAAAAAAGAAAAACTTTGAAAAATATCAGAATTCTGCGAATATGTCCTTATTCTTAATTCCTTTATTAAGAAAATACAACAATGCAAGACATCTATGAACAACAAGAAAATTTGAAAAAAGATATTGTTTTAATACACATAAAAAGTTCTTATTTTTCTAAAGCATACGATCAGTATACTCGAGAACCAGTAGCTGACTCGAAAGAGAAAGCATAACATATCACCAGAAAAAAAAGTAAAGTTGATTTTGAGTTGCTGAGAGATGTTTTTTCGTATTCAGCACACTTGATAACCCAGAAGATTTTCTATTTTTAGCGAGAAATACTTCCAAAAGTTTAGGAAAAATTTTCAAATTAATATTGTTTTCTCATGGAAACTTTTTTGCGCCATTTTTGTTTCAAAATTTTTCCTAAACTTTTAGAAGTACTCCTAGCCCAAAATAGAAATTCCTCTGGGTTATCGAGTGTGCTGAATGCGAAAAATCACTTTTTAGCAACTCAGAAGAAACTTTATTTTTTTGTTCCAGTGATATATGTGGTCTCAGTTGACTTAAAGAGAAAGAAAAATCACTGTTTACAAAAAACTTAAAACATAAAAATAAATTCTTCTTATATAAACATGAATATTTCAGGAACAGCTTTCTTCGCTTCTTTTCCATTTGTTGCTTCACATATAGAAAAAAATTCGGTCACTCAAAGTACTAAGCGTAAGAAATAATGATAGGAGGTGGTGCTAACTAAGTTGCTATGTTTCACCATTTCCAACATAACGCCACTAAAATGATGTTCTTTTTTTATTTACAAGATCTCATTGGTAAAAGAATACACCAGTAGTATTTTACTTTTTTGTTGTGGTATCGTGGAGATTTTTTGATTCAATGAAATTCAAAAATTTATATTCTTCTCTTAGAATTAACGCATTCTTATTCAGTGTAATCCACTATAAAAAACTAAAATCTAATGTAATTTCACCATCACTCTAAAATTTCCAGTGTGTTTTTAACTACAAATCTGATTATGAAGTGAATTTTGATTGAATTGCAAAACTTCTACAGTAACAAATATATCATGACTAAAATATCTAATAAAAATACGGATATACTCCTAATACACAACAGAAAAGATTTTGCTTTTGAAAGATTCTTTTAAGTTCTACCTAGTTGACTCATATAAGTAGTCCAACAGAGAGATTTTCTTTCGCCTATTTTCATTTTAGAAAATCTGTCACTGATTGAGCGAAAAGCAAATGTCATGATCTAGAGAACAGTGGATTGCAGAAGGATATTGTTTTATAGGTGTTTAGTTAAATTATTTTCCCAATAGGAAAATATTGATTAGATGAGAGTTTTTTAATTAAAAAAAACTTCAGGTTTTATATAGCTGTTAGATTACGTTATAAGGGATCAATAATGAGCATTATTTTCTCTTAATGATGCTCATTATTGATCTCATAAAACGTTTATTTTCTATTTATCAATGTATTTTTCATGAATAGTATTAAAATTATCAGGTGACCGAGAAATAACTGATCCCTTTTGAAAGTTAAACTTTTCTAACTCAAGCTATGTTTTAAAGTCTCATTTTATAATCAAAAGATGTAGAATTTAATTCTCTACCAAACTGTATATCTGATTGCGAAATTAGTTGCCTCGGCATAATATTTAGAGTGGATCAATTTCCAAAACTTCCCGGTTCCGATTCTAATTCTTAGTAAAGCGTTCGTAATAGTTCAATCTAACTCTTTTATGATTATTTTTCTCATCCAAAGATGCGTATTTTGTAAAAGTTGCTCGTCTATTTAGGAACAAACGAGGCTTAAATCTAAAGACCATGCTAATTATTTAAAGTTCAAAATAACACTAATATTTTCTTTCAAATTCCGAATTCAAAACCATAAGTTTGATCTAGAAAGATGAAGAATTTCCTGCCTTACTGGACTAGCTTACTTTCTACGTCAAATGATAGTTTTATTGAGTGACATGACAGAGAAAATATAATGCCCGACAGAGAGATCGTAAGACCATGTAATTTGCAAACAACCGACCTCTAGTAATCAGTTTTTTTATGTCCTTTTCTTAGTTCAATAGTTTTCGATTTAGGATGAAGAGGTGCACAATTTTCTGAAGAATTTATTTGTGTCTTTTGTTTTGGTTCACAATGCTTTTATTGTGTGACATGGTACTTGAACAAATTTATAGGCTGAAAAGTCTTGAAAACTGGTTCATTCTAAATGATATGCCGAGGACACTTAACCAAATTCGCAATCAAATATATAGTTTTGAGTTTAGTTATTTCTGGGCCATCTGGTAGATTTTATTAGTATTGAAAACATCATTTAGCGTCATTACAGTAATACATAACTTATATATCTGACTCGTTGCAATATTTGTTGACCGTTTTTAGTACTTTGTAAAGGTTCTCTTAATGTTGTTTTAGATATCATTTTGCAGTCACAAAAATATGGAGCTCGGTCAGCCTAATAATACTATTTATGTCAATAATTTAAACGAACGTAAGTGAGACTGTTTGCTTTTTCTGCTTGAAATTCTTTATGTTATTACTCGTTTCATGTTTAGGTGTCAAGTTAAACGAGTTGAAAAAGTACTTATTTGCAATATTCTCAAAATTCGGTAACATATTAGATATTGTCGCTTTGAAAAACTTACGTATGCGTGGTCAAGCATTTATAATCTTTGAGGATGTTGAAAACGCAAAAAAAGCATTAACATCAATGCAGTCGTTTCCATTCTATGAAAAACCACTTCGTATACAGTTTGCTAAATCAGATAGTGATGTTGTGGCAAAACGAAAAGGCACTTTTCAAGAGAGACCAAAACGTCGTTCGGACAGTGATCAACCATCGATATCAAAGAAAGAAAAACGCCGACAACAATTAGCGTTGAAACAAGAACAGCAACGTTTACTAAAACAGCAAATGGGACATTATGCAACAATGCCACCAATGCCGGGCATGTTGCCTACTGGCCTTCCACCCGGTATGCCCATGTTTCCACCACCGCCGATTATGCGACCCGTCTTACATCCACCAATATTTGGTGGAGAAATGCCAAATAATATTCTGTTTCTAAGCAATTTACCTAATGAAACACCAGAGAGTATGTTGACAATGTTGTTTAAAGCATACAATGGTTTTCGAGAAGTACGATTAATACCCGGGTAAGTAAATCTGTTGTTAAAGTCTTTTTCTTCGACTAATTCATACTATATTTGAATAATTTAGCCGTGATGGTATTGCATTTGTCGAATTTGACACAGAAAATCAAGCCTCTTTGGCGAAAGATACATTACAAGGCTTCAAAATTGGTCCAGAGAAGCCAATGCAAATTACTTTTGCTAAAAAATAGACGTGTTCTCGTTGTTTCTTTTTATGTTTTATTTCTGTCTGCATTTTTTTGTTTATTAAACTGAATGTATTTCATGTGTAAAATTAAACGAACAATCCTCTGAGATTGTTCCTCAGTCTAAACAGCATCTCACGTTACTTTTAATTTTCTGTTATAAACACTGTGAAAGAGTGTCGGAATAATGTTGATACCTAATTTGTCTGATATTCCATGCTTCTTTTCTTTTGTTAGAATAAAAAGAATTGAGTGTTTTCGGTAGTATTTTGTCATGCATCATGAGTTAAATTTACGGTGGTTAGCTTGAACAGTTATTATCTAGACGTCACAAGGGGCTTGGATTTAGAGAAACATCATTTTCAAAGATTATAATAGTTGGTTTTACCGGTAGCATACTTTCTATTTTTAGATCTTGAAAAAAAATCGACATGACTGATATTCGTCCAAATCATACATTATATGTAAATAATCTGAATTCTAAAGTAAATAAAGCACAAATGAAGAAAGCATTATACAATTTATTCATATCGTACGGTCGTTTATTAGGCATTGTCGCTATGAAGTCACCCAAAATGCGTGGACAAGCATTTATTATATTTGATGATGTACAAAATTCAACAGCCGCCTTACGTTCATTGCAAGGTTTAGAATTTTTTGAAAAACCACTTCGTTTGCAATATGCTAAAAAAGATTCTGAAAGTATTCAGCGAATACGTGCTCAAGAAAATGCAGCAGCTGCTGCTTTAGCCGCAGCTGCGGAAAAAGCCAGTGCACCGAAGAAACCTAGAATTGAAAAACCACAACCTCCTGTTGAATCAACATTACAACAACAGTGAGTATTCTTGAATAAATGTGAATTATTTTTCTAAAAAATTTTCCTTCTCTAGGCACGTCGCTATGATGAATTCAGCCGAAGTACTTCAAGCAGCTGAAATGGTAAGTGTTTTGATCTTGGTGAGGATTAAATAAAATAAAATTTTTAACTAAACTTTGTTATCTAGGCTGCTGCTGTAGAAGCAGAACTCGAACAATTACCATTGAAAGAACGTCAACGTCGTATTCAAACTGCAATTGCTGCACAAAGTACATTAATTGGAACATTACCAATGATTCCGGAACAACCATCAAATTCGACATTATTTTTAAGTAATTTACCAAATGAAACAACAAAAGAAATGTTAGAAATTTTATTTAAACAATTTACCGGTTATCGTGATGTTCGTTTAATACAAGGTCGTGAGGGTATCGCATTTGTAGATTTTGATAAAGATAATCAAGCAACAATAGCCAAAGATGCATTACAAAATTTTAAAGTTACCCCAACAAATCCAATATCAATTAGTTTTGCAAAAAAATAGATTCGTTGTTTTTTAACATGTGTGTCGTTGAACTTGTTGTCCTTTCCTTTTATTTCATTTGTTTTTTGTAAACTACATGTTGTTGAAAAAAATAAATAAAAACTTTTTCCACTGACGATGAACAGATACATGCACACAGATACACATACAGAGAAATGTTAATTGGAAATGTTTTTTTTTTACATTGTTAATTTTCCATGATTTCGAATTTCAATCATTTTAGATGAAGTATATCTTGATTTCTGTTTTTATTTTTATTAGTTGAAGAAAAACAATGGATACTTTAGAGAGTGAAAATAATCGTCGATCTGATGAACTGGCATCAAAAGTTGCTCGTCTGAAACATGTACGTGCACAGATTTGGTATTCCTGATAGTGGTGTTGTAGCGATGTTCCACGCACGTCTACTCTAATCGATGTATTTGATGATCATACTTGCTTATTCTTTTTAATCTCAGGTTGCTTATGACATTGAAAATGAAACAAAAGAACACAACAAGTTTCTTGATTCTATGGTACGTTGATTTGTAGAGAGCAACATGTTAAGTTAGTGGGAGTATATAAGTTTTGTATAATTTTTTATTTGATTTTTTGTTATTTTGTTCTAGCGTTTTGATTTTGATACAGCTAAAGGATTTCTTACTGGAAGTTCTCGACGCTTAGGCAATGTGATGACATCTGGTCGCGGTGATCGACGTACCATGTGCTATGTTATTGGTGCAATTATCCTAGCATTCCTTTTTCTCTATTACGTTCTTCTGTCATTTCGAAGTAAATGATTGTTACTTTTATTTTATGAGAATGCTCGAACTTTTCTTGTTTTTTTCTGATGTTCGACATATCTCACGTTGTTGAAACAAAACAAGTCTATTGTGCATCAATAAAATTGTTCTGATGTCATACTTAATTATTTATAACTTTTTTGTATAACTTCGGTTTTGTTTTATGTTTTTTTACTGAATTTTGCCATTTACTCCAACTAGTACTATGGCTTGAATTTTATCTCAATCGTTAAAAAGAATGTTATATTTTTTGTTTTGTTTACAATATACTTTGTTGATAAATAATATAATTATTTTCGTTGCAAATTCTGCCTCTTTTGTCGAAGAATTAAGCTTCAATCTTCGATTTCATAGTATAGAACAGCTTCAAAATGTCTTGAGACAAATACTGCAAGCATCTAGTTGTAACACTATTGGTCTATGAATTATTCATTCTTGAAAAACATACCGATGATTTTCATTGGTTTTAGACAATTGTTATTGACTAAAAAAGCGGAGTTCAGTTAATGAAGCTGCTTCGTCGACCATTACGGCCACATCTGAAACCGCTATTATTAACCGATCTTAATCGAAAAGATGTACTGTCACCACTTTCATCTGTGTCATCATCCTCAACTTCTCCAGAGCCATCTGATCGAGTCAACACACAATTCATTGCAAATTCCTTCTTCGATACCGATGAAAATCAGATGGAGAAAGGTTTGGGTGCTGGGGGTGTTACTCCATTTCAAAGTGAACAGATATTAGCTGATAATGATATGAATGAAGAAGAAGCATCCACAACTACTACTTCATCAGCAACTACAACACCAATTAAAACTGTTCGACGCAAAGTCTTGAAACCACGTGAATATACTCAATTTAGTTTACATAATCGACAATCATCAAATTTGAGAACATTAAATCGAACACCAAAAATAACTGGACCACCTCCATTACTATCGAGAAAAACTCGCTCATTTAATGATACAAAAATAAAATATGAATGTTTAACATATGATGACTATTATGAAAAAGAAAATGACTTTACATTTAATGATTTTATATTGCACTCAGCTTTACCAGCACATCAACCTTGTACGTTAGAACGAGCCATATTATCCCGTTATACATATAAACAAATATGCGAAATGATTGCCGAGAAAATATGGTTGGAACAAGGTGGAAAAGGAACGGTAAGATAAGAACAATGGTTATTTAAAATTAGTTATACAATATTTATATTAAAAGATTCACGTGCAAACTCTGCAGCCAAATATTCAACCATTTCAAAATCGTGTACCAATGCATCAACTTGTCACTGAAATGGCTCTTATTTTAAAAGATCACATGTCAGAATTATTAGGTAAATAATTTTATGCAAATAAATCATTAACACAAAAAAAATTTAAAGACAGTTACCGTTAATGTTAATAATTCTTCAATTTAGTCATTCTCTCTTTTTATCTCAATATATTATCTAAGAACTTTTCGTTTTCTTTTTAACTTTTTAGGAAGCCAAAAACTAAAAATGGGTATTCGTACGTTACCAACTTGGAAACGTAGAGAAGGTGCTCATACTGAAATTTTATTATATGAAAAAGATGTCAACGAAACAAAGAGTATATCTCAGGATAGTAATGGTATGTTTCTTTTACGATACGAAGAGTCACTCATAATAAACAGTCTTTATTTTTGTTTAGTATCATTAAATATGAAACGTGATACGGGAGCCGAGATTGCTGTACTTGATTGCCTTATCAAAAAAGGTACTCATCTAGATTTACGAGCATTTGCACTCGAAATTTTACCCGATATATCATTAATGTATTCAACGTTGATCGCTGCCGATTTAGCGTATAATTGTTTTGCAGTAAGGAATCTATTTTAAAGTATGTGTTGAAAAAATATTTTTTCCCTGTTTTTCTTTTTCAGTCGGTGCCAAAGGAAATTTTGGTTTGCACTAAATTAGAACACTTGTATTTGAAACACAATCCGATTCAAACCATACCACAACAACTTCAATCCTTACAAAGTTTACTCTATTTGGATTTATCATTTTGCGATTTACGACAATTGTCTGACAGGTTAATTTTTTTTAATAATGACTGTTTATAACAACCAGCTGCTAGACGTTGAAATTTTTATAACAAGAGAGTCAAGTCGTTGAGTTTCTCACTAAAATAAGTAGAAAAGAGAACCTGCATAATTCTCTCAGCGATTACCAGATAAATAATTGTTTTCTTGATCATTAGTAAGCGGAGCTGTTCTTTTTTGAGATATTTCTACGATCGCCATCCAGTGGCGGCAACAGCGGGGCAATAAGGGGCAATTGCTTCCCCAATAAAAATTTGTCCGTTCTGCACTGACTAGAGAAGAACGATTTAAAAAAGAAGTAACACTTGCTTAATGCCATCAAGAAAAAAAAAACTGCGTGAAAATGGCTCAAAATTAGATCTTCTTTTCCCATCGAAACATTGAAAAAAAGTTATTGCCCTCCCAAAGTTTTTGGACTTGCGCCGCCACTGTCTCCATCCATCTGCGTTAGATATAACATTTATAGATCACAATGTTCATTTGCTTCATTTCTGTGTTCAACCCATTGTTTTTGTTGTGGTGATCGTGATATATTCTCTAAGATTGTAGATGAGGCAATTTCATCCTCGGAGTTCGATCTTGCGAATGTTGTTAATAACTGACAGTATATAGTTGTTTAGATATTCCAAGAATTTATCTATGCTCGTCCTTATAGCATAGAGAACAATCATGAACAGTGGTTTATGTGACATAGTGATTTTGTGTGTTTTTTGCTATGAACAATCGTCAATATATTTGAGTGTATACGCGCGCATCAACGTATTCGAACCTGTTATTTCTCAACTTATACAACGTTTACTTGGCTTTGACATAGTTTCATTGCTCTGTTTTTGACCAACAATTGAACTGATCTGTAGAGTGCCTTTAACATACCAACTGAAAAAATCATACGTTTTTATATATTCATAACCTGTTCTCTGTGTTGTTTATGATAATTGGGTAAACGTCTTTCGAATGAACTATCGACAGACGTTTTTAATAGAGAGCCAAACATTTTTTGTATTATACATTTCGTCATTATTTTAGCTTTCTACTATTTTGATACAATAAATGTATCATCGATAAATTCCTTATGCACAATGTCGATTCGGATCAAACATATCTAAATCACATCAACTTCAGCGTCTTTTACTTTAAATTCCTTATTATCAGTTGAAACACCTATCTATTCATCGATTTTTTTTTGGACATGACGGGTACATGATACAAAAAATTATTTTACAATAACAGATAAAACTCAATAGTACTGGAAAGATGAATAGTAGAAATATTGTCAAAATAAAATGGTGACAGTTTAGTATTCATACTGTCAAATATTTCAATCATTCTATTAGGCGACTAGGAAACCTTTTATTTAATTCATATTATCATAATTATAGAAAAAACTTTAAAAAGTATTTTTCACTCTCTAGAATATTTTAATATAGTTGTTTTTCGTTCTGATTACGATTTCAATCGTTGATTGAAAGAATGACGATAATCTTAAAAGACTATATGAATGTTTTCTTCATTTAAGTTTATTTACTTTGATCAATCTTCGTCATTTGGACGTCTCCTATAATCGCCTTACAAAAATTCCAGGTGCTATATCAAATTTAAAGTGAGTTTTTCTATTGTTTTTTTTAATATTGAATGTATATTGTTTATTTGTTTCTATATTAAGAAACATGCGTCAGTTTGCCTGTGACGGTAATGAAATAACCTATTTTCCATCAAGTTTAATTCGTATGGATGAACTTCGTCTTATCACAGCTAAAAATACATATCTTTTACCACAATTATGGAATCAAGAATGTTCAACGAAACCACAGGTTAATTGCCGTCATCAACCTTATATCTGTTACTAGATTTGTTTTGTTTCATGTAGAAATTAACCGAATTAAGTACCGTTCAATTATGTAAAATAAACTGGAAAAGAATGCTACATAAAATTCCTGACGGAGCTAAATCTTCTTTATTTAAGTAAGTTTTACAATAAACAGAGGTATTTTCAATCTTAACCTCTACCATTTCATTTTCAGTGCTCAACCCTGTGATACGTGTGAACAGTTACGAATTGGTAATGGTTTTCGCTCTGTGATAACTTTTCAAAATTTATTCGGTATTAAAGTATTACCACTCTTATTTATTAGTTGTACATCAAACTGTATGAAAACATTATTGGATAGTAAAGCAACATTAACAAATGAAGATTTTATTGCATTATTAAAAGCTAAACATAAATAACAGTCGGATCTTTTTTCTTAGTCCAAATGAATCTCTTCCGTCCAAGTTGCATTTGAAAACGAGCTTATGTGATTTTTGCTTTTTTGAATTTTTTATTAATACTTTTTTTGTATAAATCTCAATTATTATTATCTCACACTTTTTGCGTGATAATTTCAATATCAAAAATTATTTATTATTTATATTATTAAAAAAGAATAATAAGGGTTTCTGCGACAGTCTTCTTTATTTTTGCAGTCAAATTTTCGAAAGACGATCTCGGAAAGTATTCTTTAATGTAAGTAGGCTAATGAGGGAATATTCTTAGGAAATCGATTCCGATTTGACTAACATAACTTGCGAGAGGTTATTTTTTATGTTGATCACGAATCCTTTGTCCATTTTTCCTTTATGGCTTATGATAGAGTTCACTACAATTCAAGTCAGTAAAGATTCATCTCAAACTTTAGGTGAAAAGACTCTGATACGGACAGTTTGTAAACAACGTCGAGTTACGTAAATGAAAAGACTTTTAGTCTTAACAATCAAGTTTTTAAGAAATAGAGGAATTATTCCGATTTTTGTGCCAAGTTTTGTCGCTCTGTGAAAACTCGCTTTTAGGTCTAAAGAATATTTTCCATAGAGAACTCGGTATACGCTGAATTCTTGTAGTAGTAGAATTTTTCCCTTCAAAGTTTAATATAGCCCTGCACAGATTCGATTTGGGGAGTAGTATTAGGAAGCGCATGTGAGTAAAAATGGATACCAGATTCCCAATCAGCATAAAAAATGGCCCGTAACTGGAACGCAAGCACGCTAACGTAAACATTGCCAAGGAATTAGAGCAATTTCTATTAGACCGCTGTACGTGCCCCTTTTTAAAGCACTTCCTAGTCGAGACCCTCGACAAAACTCCCACGGGATCCTACGGTAGTCAGGTGGGACTTTCAAGGGTCTCTTGAGGATTCCCGTGGACCCTTTGAGGACTTTCGTTGGACTCCCGCAGGACTCGAAAGTCCCACAGGAGTCCCGAGCGAGCCCTCAGAAGCCCCTTGAAAGTCTTACCTGACTTTCGCAGGACCCTGTGACAGGAATCCTGCGGGAGTTTTGTGAGGAGTCTCGACTAGAGCTTCGTATCCATCTCATTCATCGAAGATTTTACATTCAGTGACAGTTTATGATGTGATCGACTAGCTCCGTTGTGTATTATCATTATGATAATACACAACTTACAAAACTTTTACACTGCTTTTTAGATCCAGCTTGCGATAGAATCCGAAAATGATAGGAAACTTGCAGAAGAGGATGTGCTGTACCAGAGCGCCAGTTGTCAATACAATCTACGTCTATATCAGTGGAGCGTCTAATGCAGTTGCGGAGAAAAGCCAAGCGAGCCAAGGGTTCACATCCTCTAAGAGAACAATGAGAGACTTCATGAATATTGACTAGCAATCGCGATCAGAAAACCAGTAAGGCGCAAGCGTCTCTCTTACAGCATAGCAGCTTATTTCAGCCATATTCCCGTGTATAAATTTTTGTGATTTACCACACATACAAATGAGCATAAATATTTATAACTCTACAGAAATTGATGCCTTAGTCCCAAAAACTTATCTAGATGAGTAACTCGATGTGCGTGCGATCTAACAGGATCCGAATGTGTCCTATTAGAAGCTCATGGTGGGTCTATAGAAATCCAGTTTCTGTAGGCCCATTTAAGAAGGGCTTGTGAGGCAAACGAATATCAGATTCGTGATCAACATCAAGTACCTGTTATGAAGTATATTTTGAGGAAAAATCAAGAAATCACTTGGTGATGTTCCCTTGTGAGTAGTTTAGTATTTTTAGCTTTAAGTAGGTCCTGCCCATACCTACTTACAATACGCATATCTGAAAGTGAGTTTTTAACATGGCTAGAAGTGAGACATAATTTGATAGACAAACATGTGAAAAGAAAAGGTCTGTTACCAAAGGGTCCTGAGTTCGATTCCCGTTCAAGGTATACATTTTCTTTTCACATGTTTGTCTATTAAATTATGTCCCACTTCTAGCCATGTTAAAAATTCACTTACTAATTTCATCAAGTCCTGTTTCACAATTCATCTATTTATACGGATATTGGTTCTGGCCTTTCTCCTAACAGAGACTGATCTCAGTATCATACAGTCCTGTTTAACTGTTTCGCAGAATACGCTCAATCATTTTTCTATTCGTAGAAAATCTTAATCCAATTCGTCACGAATAGGTTGCTATTCGGACCAAATAGGACTGATATCAACATTATAAACTATGAATTTTTTTAAAGAGTAGAAATCGGTAAACAAATTCACTAGTTATCGCTCATTCTTCAAGTAGACAGCCCTATGAACGAAAAGTTATATTTGATTAGGAGTTATGTTGTAATATCGGTAATTCTGTTCATTTTAGAAAAATATTTATCATGAAGTTGATAACACATAATATGTTAACATCAAACATCATCAAAGGTGTTAAAAATGGATTTCCGTTGAAAATAAACGCTGTTAAAGTTGAAAACATAACGGTTGATTATAATCGCGATTTTATAACGAGAATGTTGCCGCGTATTGAATATAATGCTTTACGCTCAGCCGTTTCAGATGTAAGTGTATTATATAGTGTTATGATGATAATGATATCTAAGTTTTCGTTATTTAGATCGGTATCAATGAATCTTTACCAGAAGTTTTATCCGAATCATTACAAGAAGACGATGAATTTCTGAAGAAAATGCATAAAGTATTATTAGAAATTGAAATTGAAGAAGGTGAATTGATCTGTCCTGAAACAGGTCGAAAATTTCCAATAAGAAAAGGCATACCAAATATGTTACTTAGTGAAAGTGAAGTATCGTGATATTTAGTGTGTTATTTATATATTTTGTTTTTATGTATCAGGCTACTTCATTACCATACTGTAAAATGTTAAAACTTTATACAGTTTGTTATGAATAAAAACATTCATGTCAAATAATCGAGGCGTTTTATTTTTCAATTTGTAATAAATGTTTACACTCAATAAGATACATAAAAATGTATTTAACTCTATTTTGACGAAGCTAGTATTGTATTGTTAAAATTCCATGACTCGGTTGAATTTTATTAATATAACTTCAGCTATGCATATAATATTTATAGGTGCCAAGGTTTAACTTTCTACAACGTTTTATCAATGATAATAAAGAATTTGTGTTAAGACGTAACGGTCGTTTTTACCACTGAAGCACCATGCCTTCCAATTTTCTTTTTTCTATCTCTTGTGTATCCTATCCTCCCAGGACTACTTATAGGTGAACTAAAGTATACATAGAAAAATTATTTCAGATGTACCATCGACAAGTGTTGTACACTGGACTGATCTTTTTCCCGAATTTCTACGATCAGCTAGCTATAACCTAGACCTAGACATGGACGGGACAGGTATCGGGACCGAAAAATCTTGATTCCGCCCATGTCTACCTAGAACGAGCAGCTGCTTCGAACTAGAAAAACGGTATAGAAAGAAAAGAACGAAAGAAAGAAAGCGGAATTTTGCTCGGCAACCCGGCAGTGAAAAGCAATAGCTAATATGTGCCATGCTGTCCATCACTGGGTAACAATTGAAAAGAACAGAAAAAAACAGAAAAACATTCGTTACAATTTGTTGTCTTTGTACACAATTTTTTAAGGCAATAGACCTGGATCAACAGCATATTGTCAGTTTATTATTTTAATAAACTCCTCTCTCTCTCTCTCCCCTTTCGATTCACTCAGTCAACATGAAGAACATGCACATTGTTATTTTTAATTATTGTGAGCATTGCGCTAATGCTTTTACCGTTGAGGCAATATTGTAAGTAGCGAATACGCTCATTTATTTTTCGAATTTACTCACGGATGTATAGTTAAATTGAGTAGTTCTTGTCCTTATATGAGATTTCATTTTTTAGTGCGCGACACATGTTCACATTTCATGATTTATTGCAATCATTTTATGCTAAATCTATTCAGTCGTCGAAAAATATTTTAGTCATCAGTGAATATGGAAAATTTCATTTTTCAACAACAAGAAGTTTCTCCGTTGTAGATGTTTTTCCTCTTTAAAAGCAATGAAATACAATGAGTCGACAGCGGGTTTCTTCACGAAATTCTCGGCATCACTTATCCGCATCATCGGCAAAACCACGTTTAAATAACGATAACTATTATTTTCGTCATTTACCATCGTGGCTAAAATATTACATGAAATCTTATAAACAAATTAATTTATTTTCATTTCATGAAATTCCATATTTTTTGCAATCAAATCCCTATGTTCTGGATGGCTATCGACACAGTCTGTCTATTAAAAAATGCTTATTCAGGTAAGCGTGCTGCTTTTATTCATTGATTATTTCTTGCTACTTCTAGTGTTACTTATTATTACTACTAATAATAATAATAAAATATTGACATCTTCTTCGATGCTTATTTTAGCTTATTCCTTCTAAACAATGAAACGATCAATATTTGGTCACATTTGGTCGGTGCTATCCTCTTTGTTTATTTTTTCATTCGAGATTTCTATTATGCCAAAGTACTAAATTATTTAACTACCACAGATGATTATTGGGTTATGTTATTTTATGTGTTTTCAGTTATAGTGAGTTTTCGTTGATGTTGTGTTTCTAACAAAACATATATATATATATATATATCATCATTTCTTTTTCTTTTCTATAAAAGCCAGATAAATTTTAACCAGTTTTGCACTTATTATTTCTGAAAATTTTGCTCTTTTTAGCTTTGTATGCTCTGTTCATCATTATTTCATTTATTCGGTTGTTGTTCGGCGACGGGATATATATTTTGGTTAGACTGTGATCTGATGGGTATTAGTGTAGCTATTTTAGGGTGTTATTTAGCTGGATTGCATCTTGGCTATGCTTGCTTCAAAGTTCGTATAAAAAATTTGTTTAAAAGACTTAAAGTGAATCATACCAATATAATTTTAGTTTTGGAGAGCATGTTACGAGATAATGATTGTCATTCTTATGACGTGTGTTATTTTTCATTACGTAAGAAGGCCAAAAAAATATTTATTTAGTTCGGTTCATGTAACAATATTTGTTGGAGTAGCATTGCTTGGTTTTTTACCAGTACTACATTGGTTAATATTACATGGAGGCTTTTTCACTGAGATTGTTCAGGTATTGTATAAATTGCAAATAATTAGTATAGATTTTGATGTTTGTCAATATTTTTAGGTTTTTCTGCCAAAATTTATTGCGTTATACTCATTATTAGGAGTGGGTATGCTATTTTATCGAACAAAAATACCCGAACGCTTATTTCCAGGTAAAATAAAGTATTTTATAGAACTCGAAGTTTCTGACAAATATACATGTAACAGACACATACAAAGGTTAGACGTCAGCAGTTTTTCTGATCGGCGAACAAGAAATAACTGACCACTCTTGTGCACAGTTTCTCACCTACTTCCACTCGCATTTAAAATTTCGTTCTTAATTCAAAAGTTAGAGAATTTAATCCTTTAACGTATCAAAAATCTAGTGAAAACCTATATTAGGTGAAACATCCCTTTTTGTCTATTTCTCAGTAAAATCCAAAAGATCGTTGTTTTCAAAAGAACTACAAGCCCCAAACATTCAAAACACCTTCTTTCGAGCCTTCTAGTTAATGACTCCACTAAACACAAAGTCACAAAAGAGAACATTTACTAATTCGGCTCACAGCTCCTGTTTAAAAATTTACACTAGCCCTTCGAGTTTACGAGAAAATCGTTACAGAAAATGACAGTTTTGTAGCCTAGAAAGTAAACACGCAGTTGATTACAATAATGCGGTATGTTTCGCACCGCATTAAAAACAAAAAATTTTCTCTTATAAGAAAGTCTAATTAATAGAATAAACTATAAAAGAAAAGTATGTGTTTTTGATGTGTTGATAAAAGAATAAGCTTTTCACACATAGCGGTTAATTCATTTTGAAAAAGGAATCAGATCAATTAGAAAAGAAAATGAAGTTCCTGTAGAGTAGTATGGGGCAATTGTAGACAGTTTTGCGATCTTTTCTCTTGTAATCAACATAACTTTGTTATTTTTATTAATTTTAGTTTTTTTTTGCAGGTAGGTAGATCGAAATTTCCTGTAGAAACCTGTCTAAAAATTTTCGAAAACCGGCTTCTAGGAGTGTATCTCTCGGTCTGTCTGCAATTACCCCACATGGGGTAATT